CTTTTATTTTGAAAAAAAATGTGGTGTGGTGATTTGATACAAATATATAAAATATAGAGATCAAATCAGGGTAATTAGCATCTCCATATCCTTGATTATTAATTTTTTGTCTTGAGAACTGTCCTAGTGTGTGTGTGTGTGTGTGTGTGTGTGTGTGTGTGTGTGTGTGTGTGTGTGTGTAGATACAAGAGTATGTGTGGAGGCCAGAGGTTGACAATGGGTTTCTTCTTGATTACTCTCTACCCTTTTTGTTTGTTTATTTTTGAGACTGGGTCTCACTGTGTAGCTCTGGTTGGCCTGAAACTCACTATGTAGACTAAATTGGTCTCAAACTCACAGAGATCACCTGCCTATTTTCCCAGTTCTGAGGTTATGGACCTGAGCTACCCTGCCTGGCTCCACCTTTTCTCTTGAGAAAGTATCTCTCACTGAACCTGGAGCTCACCATTCAGTTAGACTGGCTAGCCAGGAAGTCCCGGAGATTGTCCTGTCTCTGCCTCCCAGTGATAGGTAGGAGTATAGGCAAGCAGAGCCATGGCCAGCTTTCTCCACGGGTGCTTAGAGTCTATCTCAGGTCCTTGTGCTTGTGAGGCAGGCAGGCACTTAACTGAGTGTGCCGTCATCATCCACCCCCAATTCCTTCTTGTAGTTTTTTGTGTCTTTGTTTGTACTGCTGGAGATTGGACCCAGAGCTGCACGAATGCGAGGCAAATGCTCTGTCTACTGCTGACCTCTCTCCTCAGGCCTTCTCCAGCTCTTCACACAAAGACTGTATGTAATTTATATCATGATCTGGGGAACATTTGCGCTGGTGACTGCATGTAAAAGATTCACCTAGGCTGGGCGGTGGTGGCACACGCCTTTAATCCCAGCACTTGGGAGGCAGAGGCAGGCGGATCTCTATGAGTTCAAGGCCAGCCTGGGCTACCAAGTGAGTTCCAGGACAGGCACCAAAACTACACAGAGAAAACCTGTCTGGAAAGAGAGAGAGAGAGAGAGAGAGAGAGAGAGAGAGAGAGAGAGAGAGAGAGAGAAAGAAAGAAAGAAAGATTCACCCGGTTGTACACAAGATTGGGTTAAAGCTGTTATACCTAGTACAATTTTAAGGATTATGTAAGGTTTTGAAAATCTGTTTAAAAGAATCCTCTTTTGCATTGGCAAGATGACCTGGTGGGTAAAGGCACTTGCTGACAAGCCTGTGTACCTGAGTTTGATCCTCAAAACCCATGAGAGAGAGAAGTAACTCCTGAAAGTTGCCCTCTGACCTCCACATGCATACCATGATATGTATGTATCCCTTCCTTCCATAAATAAATTAATGTTTACAAAATTAATAAAGTGTTCTGTCAACAAGAATATAATTAAAAAATTCTAAGGAGAAACAAACACGAGAGCTGGAGATATAATGGCTCAGTAGTTAAGAGGGTTTACTGCCCCGGGAGAGGAGCAGCATTTGGTCACAAACACCTATATGGGGCAGCTCACAGTCACCTGCAACCCCACCTCCAGGGCCTTACACACACACACACACACACACACACACACACACACACTTTTTAAAAAGAGAGATGGTGCTGCAGACCTTTAATCCCAGCATTTAGAAATCCAAAGCAAGAGGATCTCCGTGAGTTCGATGCCAGCCTAGTCTATATAGTTGCAGGTTGAGTGCTAGCCAGGGCTACAGTAGAGCGAGGACCTGACACCTGACGGTGTGGGGATGGGGAGCTGTTCTTACCCTCCTAACATACACTTCCTAACAACTGGTAAATACCTTCCCCAACACACCACCAAGAAATTTTCAAAACCCTTCATTACTCTTGAGGGGCTGGGGTGAGCTGGGGAGAGTCAGGACTCAGGCAGGGAGAACCACCTCTTCTCCAGGTGCCGAGGGTAACTGGGTTCTCCTGAAGCACTCGGAAAGGCCAGGCTAGAGAAGCATTAGAGGGTGCTGAGACTCAGAGAGAGCGGGGAGAACAGGGAGGCACTAGGAAGTCCGCAGAGCTGTTCAACAGGGGACCTTGGTGCTGTGCCCCAGACTACAGCTAAGCGCAAGGTTGAGGGTGGGAGATAGCACGGGAGGAAGGATTGGACATAAGACCAGTGCTGAGCCCTCCAGGGAAAGGCGCTTTTTCACCCTACACCACGGCTGAGACAAGATTTCCCACAGCCCCCCTGGAACCCTCCGGAGAAGTGCCCAGAGATGTCCCTGTCAAGGACAGCTCTCCTGAGAGGCAGACAGCAGACGTCAGCCTGGTGTTTGCAGAAGCCAAGCCAGAGAGCCGCTCGCCCTCCTGTGGTGGTAGTGAAGGAGCAGAGCTGGCGTGCTTGAGCGGCCTGCCGCGGATGCCCGAGGGTGACTGGTGTTGTCGCCATCAGGCCCCAGGGATGCTCCGAGGTCCGGCTGCTGCGCCATGGCCCTGTAGTCCCGGGTCAAGGCGGTGCCCTCGGGGCTGGCGGCCGCAGGACTAGGAAATCCTCGTCCTGGTCTGGGACAGCTGCACCCGCCAGGTGTGGCCGCGGAATTTGCTGTGTCGCCTGCCCGCGCAGCTGGAGCGGAAAAGCCCAGGCGTCAGCGCCCCCTGTCTGATCACCCAGCTGCGCATTCCTGCAAGTCCCGCAGCCACCGCCCAGCTGGACCCTAAGAATTCAACAGGGCGGGGTGGAAAGCGACCGTGGGACCCTCTGGGCACAGCCGAGCCACTGTCCACTTATTAAATAGTGGCGGTTACACTGCCTTCTCTACCTCTCCAGTGGCTCTAAATATCCCTCAAAGACCATCTTTATTTCAGAGATGACCGTTTATTGTACCCCTAACTAAATGCTTGACCCCGAACAAAATAAGATTTTACATACTTATGCAGGCAACATATAAGTGTTGTCAGAGGTAGGACAGGTAATAAACACGCAGCTAGACTTGAATCCGTGTGTGTGTGTGTGTGTGTGTGTGTGTTGGTTTGGTTTATGTTTTTTCGTTGTTTTGTTTTTTGAGACAGAATTTCTCTATGTAGTTTCGGTGCCTGTCCTGGCTCTTGCTCTGTAGACCAGGCTGGCCTCGAACTCACAGAGATTCACTTGGCTCTGCCTCCTGAGTGCTGGGTTAAGGCATGCGCCACCGCCATGGGGCCACATCTGTGTTTTTAACCAATGCAATATATGATGTTCATACACTGTTAGCTGTCACTTGGTAAACTTGGCAAAGTGATGTGGATGTGAGATGATCCCAAAGCAGGCTGTGTTAGAGCTGCATGCTCCGGACCCAGGACTCAAGTAAGGGGGAGAAATTAAGAACATAAGGATCTTACTTTGAACCCCTGCTCTGTCAGCTGTGTGGCTTTGACTGTGTGTCCCAGTGTTTGCAATTGTAGAAAGGAATATAACAGAACCTACCTGGGGTAGGGGGCATCCTTGTGAGAAAAAGAACAATCTAGAACATCTTGATACAGAGCCCAGTGCCTGGCATATTTCTAGAATCCAGGCAATTTCTTTTACCTAGTGCTTCTTATTTTGTTATGGATGTTATTGATTGCTTACATATTTGTTTTAATGGAGATTTGTGAAATATAAAAGCATATGAGATTTATGAGAAGTCAGTGTAGAGTTTAATGAATATTTTTTTCTTCAAACCCAGATGTAGAAACAGAGACTGTTTAACTGTTCAGCCCAGCTCCAACCCCAACTGCCCCCTCTTTCTCCTCTGGTAGACAACCATCACCCTGGCATGAAGCTGACCTTGCTTCTCTCTCTGGTTTTACCAACGTCTTCCAGGCAACGACAGCTCCTTCTTCCTAGGCCTGGACCCTCCACTGTCTGATATGGTGGTCTGAGGTCTGTAGGAGGCATATCCATAGGAGGAAGCCGGGAGTTGGGAGGGAGTTCACAAAGGTGCTTGAGGGTCGTGAGGGTCCCAAGCAAGGTCCCTGCCCTTCTCTCGCAACTGCTGATGAGTGAAGACGCCCCCCACCCCCACATCACCAGTCCTGCTCTCCCTTTGTCTAAGTTTGTATGTGTTGGAGGCACAGACGGCGTGTGCAACCCTTTCCTGCTAGGAAGGCAGGAGATCCAGCCTCTGGCCGACATCAGCTTTCCTCAGCTGCTCCAGGAGTGGCTGGGTATTCCCTAGGCTTGGGAGAGCAGCAGCCAGAGGTGACTAATGAGGGAAACTTTTGCAGAATGAGTTCAGAGGGAAGGAATTAGTGCTTGGGGTGAGCATCCATCTCGCTGGCCAGGAGCCCAGGATGAGGAGAGCCTCCTACTGGGAGAGCTGACCTGACCGTCTCTCTCACAATCTGAATGAATTATTTCATGGGCACCAACCAAGAGAAGGGCATGGCTGGCTGGTCACTCTTCCCACTGTTCCTCTGGCTGACCACCGGCCAAGCCATCAGACCTCAGTGTGGGGAGAATTCAGTTTTCCCAAGATTCTCCCTGACCCTTCCCTCTCCTCCAGGGCCTAACCTGACTTCGGCCAAACCCATTGTTCAATCTCAGCATCTTCCAGACTCTAGGGACTACAAGCCATTTTCACAGCCATTCGGAATGGTGGGGACTCCTCAAGATGAAAGTCGTAATCATTTTATAGCTGTTATTTGAGGTTATTTATTTTCTATTCGTAAAGAATCTATTTAAAGAACATAAATGATTTCCTTTTGCTCACTGCATTAGTAATGATTCTTTAAGAAATTTAATACACATACACATATATATGTGTGTACATGGGTATTTTGTCTGCATTTTTGTCTGTATACCGTGCACATGCCTGGTGCCCATGGAGGCCAGAAGAGGGCGTTGGATCCCCTAGCCCTGGAGTTATAGAGAGTTAAGAGCTGCTGTGCAGGTGTGGGACTAGGTGCTGTGTTCTCTGAAGGAGCAGCCAGTGCTCTAAACTGCGAAGCAAGTATTTCTAGTCCTAGTAATGACTCTATGCACTGGATGCAGCTCAGGAGAGTGTATTTACTTAGCATGAACAAAACCCCACACCAACAGTAATAATTCATTGATTTATTTGGTAACACAATTGTTTGACTGCTTTGTAAAGGCCGGGTTCCATTCTAGACTCTATACATCAGTGAAGGAAACAGCATACATTCTGTAATCTCTGGAACTGGCATCTAAGTGGGGGAGACAGAAAATAAATGCATGAATAAGTAAATCATAATTTATAGTTTAGGAGACAATTGTGGTGGTACTGACCTATAATCCCAGGAGGCAGAGGCAGGGCGATCTGGATTTCTAACTCATTCTTAGATATACGAGTTCAAGGCCTCTTGAGCTACGTGAGACTCTGTTTTAAAAAAAGAAAAGGAAAAAAGAAAAGATTAATCTTAATGAGAAGATTCTCAATCCAGAGAGATCTCCTTTTTTTCAAATATTTTATTTTTATCACACAACCAAGTAACATGGGCTGATTTGCTTTAAAACGGACCAAAAACAAAAAAACAAAAAAGATGTATTTGCCTGAGAGAGAACCAGGTTTCAAAATTGCTTTTATTAGTTAGTTGGGCTTTTGTAGATGAGGTCTCACTACAGAGCCGTCTGGCCTGAACTCTCCGTGTAGCCCAGGGTGGCTGTGAACTTTATGCAATCCTCCTGCTTCTGCCTCCCAAGTGCTGGGACTACAGTTGTCCACACCAAGCTGGGCTCAAGACAGCTGTGGTTTGAATCTGAATTACCACTTAGCTCTCTTGCTAAAGGCAGGGGATCCAGTTGTCTAGCATCCAGGAATGACTGGATCCTGAGGGCCCTGACCTCACTGGGGAGTAATCCACGGACAGATTCAGGGTTTGTTAATGGTGATGTCTAGAGGTGGAAGGCAAGAGGAGGCCTGGTTGGAGGAAGCAAGCCTGGGCTCCCCCTCTACCCCATCTTCACCTCTTCCTCTTCTCCCCCCACCTCTGTGAGGTGAGCAATAACAAGATGCCTTTCCTTCAGGATGCTTCAGCCTTGTCACATGCCTAAAAGCAACAGACCACCCGCCACCTGTGAACCAAACCTCCCAAACTGGGAACCAAAGCAAGAGTTTACTCATTCCCTCCCTGGGTTTTGATTTTTGTTGAGTTAACATCTTATTGATTGACCTGGGGGTCGTGTAGCCCAGGCTGGTCAACTGGTCTTGAACTCCTAATCATCCTGACTTGACCTTACAGGTATGCACTGCCAGACCAAGCTTTTTCATGTTTTGTTGTTGTTTGGTTTGTTTGTTTGTTTTTTTGTTTTTTGTTTTGTTTTTGTTTTTTGGTTGGGTTTGTTTGTTTGTTTGTTTTTTCAAGACAGGGTTTCTCTGTGTAGCTTTGCCACTTTCCTGGAACTCACTCTGTAGACCAGGCTGGCCTCGAACTCACAGAGATCCTCCTGCCTCTGCCTCCCGAGTGCTGGGATTAAAGGCATGCACCACCACCGCCTGGCTCTCTCCACGGTTTTTTAGTAAGAATTTTATAGTTTGGGGTTTTACATTTAAGTCTTTAATCCATTTTGATTCATTTTTTCTAAGTTGTGTAAGAGTTCTGTTTAGCTCTTCTATATATAGATATTATCATCCCCAAACCATTTATTGAAGACACTATTCTTTTCTAGTTGCATTTTCTCGGCATATTTTTTAATGATTAACCCATGCTACACACATGAATTCACTTCTGGGCTTTTCTTTCTTTATTCTTTTTAATCATAATAATATTTTTTATTAATTCTTTCAGACTTTTATACAAGGCGTTTTGAACATATTTACCCTTTATTCCCCCAACTCCTCCCAGATCCACCTCTCACCTTCCCACCCCTTCCAATTTTGTGTCTTCGTTTTTAACAAAATAGCACACCAAGTTCACTTTATTCTTCTCACATGCTCAAGAGTATGGGGTCATTCACTAAAGCATGGCTGGCCCACTTGGAGCCACCCTTAAAGAAAACCTACTCTTCCTCCCTTAGAAGCCATCGGCTGTCAATAGTCTTTCAGTTAGGAGTGGGAGCTTGTGAGCCCCTCCCAACTCCTTGGATATAGGGTCTCATGTTGTCCAGGATAGCCTTGAACTGACTTTGTAACCAAGGACAACTCGGAATCCCTGATCTTCCTGCTTCCACCTCCTGTGTACCAGGATTATAGGTGCATGCTACCACACTTTGGTTATATGGTGCTAGAGATGGAACTCAGGACTCCAGGCATGCTAGGCAAGCAAGCACTCTAACAACTAAGGTCTATCCCACTCATTATTTCTGGACTGTCTATTCTGTTCTGGAGGTCAATATGTATATTTTTAGGGAGTACCATGCTGTTTTAATTACTATTGCTTTGTCATGTAGTTTGAAATCAGGTTGTATAATCAACTTTTTCTTTTGGCTCATGTCTGCCTTGGCTATTTTTGTTGTTGTTATTATTCCATAAAAATTTTAGGATTAAAAGGATGGAGAAATAGCTCAGCAGTTAAGAGCACTTGCTGTTCTTCCAGAGGACATGGGGTTCAATCCCCAGTACCAACATGGTGACTTACAACTATCTGTAACCAGTTCCAGGGGATATGATGACCTTTTCTGGCCACTTGGGATACCAGGCATGCACATGATGGGTGCACAGATATACACAGATATACACATATAACACATACATTAGAACTTTTAGGACTATGTTTTCTACTTCTGTGAAATATCACATTGAAGTTTTGACAATGATTATTTTGCATCTGTAGGTTGCTTTAAATAGTGTTCATATTTTAATATTCATTCTTCTATTGTGTGAAGATGGGACATCCTTCCACTGATTTGTACAGAGACAATGCTTCTAACAAGTATTAGTATAAAAGACAAATAGAGGATGCAAGCCAACAGTAGTGTGTTGTTGGTTGTTTTTGCTTTGAGGGGGCCTGCCACCCAACTCCCACTCATGGAGGCTTATTCTTATTTATAAATGTCTGGCCCCTACCTTGACTTGTTTCTTGCCAGCTTTTCTTTTCTTTTTCTTTATTTTTTCTTTTTTGGAGCTGAGGATCAAACCCAGGGCCTTGTGCTTGCTAGGCAAGTGCTCGACCACTGAGCTAAATCCCCAACCCCACAGCTTTTCTTAACTTATCCCTTCTACCTTTTGCCTCTGGGTTTTTCCCATTATCTTACTTCTGTAAATCTTACTCTTACTTCGTGGCTTGCTGTGTAGCTGGGTGGCTGGCCCCTGGAGTCCTCCTCCTTCTCTGGCTACTTCTTTCCTCCCAGATTTCTCCTTTTATATATTCTCTCTGCCTGTCCATTCTCCTGCCTTGCTATTGGCCATCAGCTCTTTATTAGACCATTAGGTGTTTTAGACAGACACAGCAACACAGCTTCACAGAGTTAAACAAATGCAACATAAACAAAAGTAACACCTTAAAATAATATTCTACAACAGTAGGGTGGTGCTACTTGGTCTTAGGCAGAACAGTGTTCTCTCTCTCTCTCTCTCTCTCTCTCTCTGTGTGTGTGTGTGTGTGTGTGTGTGTGTGTGTGTGTGTGTGTGTGTGTGGGCATGTGTGTGTGTATGTGTGTGTAATTTCGCCTGTGTGCACATGACGGCTCAAGGTTAATGTTGGGTGTCTTCCTCAGTTGTTCTCCACCTTATTTTTGAGGCAGGGTCTCTCCTGATCCTGGAGTTCACTGACTCTGCTACACTGGCTGCCAGTGGACCCCAGGGATCCTCCCATCTCTGCATCCTGGAACTGGAATTACAAAGGCTCGCCACTGCACCGGGCTGTGTGTGGGGTGTGGTGGTCTAAACACAAATCCTCAAACTTGAAAGGTGAACACCACCTTCTGAGACTTCTCCCCACTGCCACTTACTGTCTTCTGTCCCCCTCTGGTGGGAAATGCAAGGACACTGCTCTTCAGTGTCTTAAAATTTCAAATCCAATGTTTTTCATATATTATTACAAAATAAACAGTGGGTTGTGGTGATATTGTGGCCCCCAATATATTTGTGCACCCTAATAAACTTATCTGGGGTCAGAGAACATTAACAGCCACTAGATGTCTATCTAGAGGCCAGAAAATGGTGGCACACACCTTTAACCCTGTGACTAAGGAGGCAGAGATCCATCTGGATGTCTGTGACTTCAAGGTTACACTGGAAATAGAGCCAGGTGTGGTGGCACACGCCTTTAATCTTGAGATCTCATGTCTTGCTTGGGAAAGACACATGCCTTTAATCCCAGGAATTGATGGCAGGAAGCAGAAAGGTATATAAGGCATGAGGACCAGGAACTAGAGACTTTTAAGCTTTCAGACTTTTAGCAGCAGTTCAGCTGAGATCCATTTGGATGAGGACTCAGAGGCTTCCAGTTTGAGGAAACAGGATCAGCTGAGTAGTTGGGAAGACAAGGTTGGCTGTGGCTTGTTCTGCTTCTCTGATCTTTCAGCGTTCACCCCAATACCTGGCTCCTGGGTTTTTTATTAATAAGACCCATTAATATTCGTGTTACAATGGGTCATGCATGACCAGCTTTTTTTTTTTTTTTGTACTAGTGATTGAATGTAGGACCTTGTAGATAGGCCTAGGATTCTTTATCTAGACCAGGGTGCCATTAAACTTGCAAGATTTCACCTGCCTCCTCCCAAGTAATGAGATTATAGGTGAGACACACCAGGATGTTTTAAAATTTGAATTGAGCTGTGTAATTGATTAAAAAAAAATCACAATGCCTTACACATAATGGAAGGCATGTTCTGTCATGAACTCCCATGAAGCTGCATCTAAAACTATACATCTATTAACATACATAATTGTTTATATGCTGCATGTGTTTCTTATGTGTGTACTATATCACAGTGGTTGCTGATAAATGTTTAATATAATGAGCTCTCATGAAGAACATATAAGTATATACATATATAGATTTATTATAAACTTTCTAAAAAATAAAAATCTCTCAATATAAAGACTGGTGCACATGACTTATAGACAATGAAACATACTTTTTTGTTTGCTTTTTGAGAAGAGTGGTCTCATGTATCTCAGGCTTACCTTGAACTCACTCTGTGGCTGAGCCTCTCTCTACCTTTAGTGTGCTGGGATCACAGGCATGTCCCACCACATGCAGTTTATGTAGTGCGAGGCCTTGAACCCAGGACTTGATGCATTCGAGTGAAGCATTCTACCAACCGAGCTACAGCCCCAACTCCCGCGGAATTCTTTATTGTTAAATACAACTCACTGACACTTGCAGTTTTATTGATTTTTGCTGGACATTTGTCTCCATAGCCCACCCATGGTTTCAATTCAGCTACCCACTGAATGACAAATGGAGTCACGTCCCGATGAAAACAGTCAATGACAAATAAAACCCTGCTTGTAGCGCTCGCCAATTTCCTTGGTGTGAATACCCTCATTGTGGCTGATTTCAAGCTTCCTGTGTGACGTCACAGAGGTGGGAAGGGGGCACAGAGGCAGGCATAATAGATGCAAGTGGGCTCAAGAGCCCAGATAAGCTGGGGGCGATGGCACATGTCTGTAACCCCAGCAGCCAGGAGGGAGGCAGAGACCGGAAGATGGCCACCAATTCGAAACCAGCCGTCTCTACATAGTGAGTTCCGGGCCAGACAGGGCCGCATAATAAGACTGTGTCTCAAAATAGACAAACAAGAACATAAATAATAATAAAAGGTAGTGAAATAATTAGAAAGTGATGGGTTTGAGTTTTTAATCTTGATTTTAAGTGTTAGTTTATATACTACAGTGGCTAAGGAAGGACTCATGGTTGGGAATCCTGATGCTGACACCAACTTCACAGGCCAGGAGCTTAGCTACGGGACAAAGCTGAGCGACGTAGTCACTAATACCTCATGTGAACTCCACCAGCCCCCAGGCCCCAGGATTTCAGTCAACAACAGGGTTGTTTTATTATTACATATATTTATTCGTGTGTGTGTGTGTGTGTGTGTGTGTGTGTGTGTGTGTGTGTGTGTATGTGGGTGTGTATGTATGAGTGTGTGAACAACTTATGGGAGTCGGTTCTTGCCTTTCACAATGTGGATTTTTGATTTTTGATTTTTTTGGTTTTTCAAGACAGGGTTTCTCTGTGTAGCTTTGTGCCTTTCCTGGAACTCACTTGGTAGCCCAGCCTGGCCTCGAACTCACAGAGATTCACCTGGCTCTGCCTCCCGAGTGCTGGGATTAAAGGCATGTGCCACCACCGCCCGACAACATAATGTGGGTCTTAAGGATTGAACCCAGGTTATTTGGATTGGCAGCAATTGCTTTTACACGCTGTCTTAGTTAGGATTTTTATTGCTGTGAAGAGACACCATGACCACAGCAACTCTTATAAATGACAACATTTAATTGGGGTGGCTTACAGTTCAGAGATTCAGTCCATTTTCATCATGGTGGGACATGGCAGTGTGCAGTCAGACATGGTGCTGGAGAGTTCTACATCTTGTGCAGGCAACAGGAAGTGGTCTAAGACACTGGGCATGGCTTGAGCATATATGAGGCCTCAAAACCCACCCCCACAGTGACACACTTCCTCTAACAAGGCCGTACCTACTCCAACAAGGCCACACCTACTCCAACAAAGCCACACCTCCTAATAGTGCTACTCTCTTTGAGCTTACGGGGAGGGGTGGTGGTGGTGGTGGTGGTGGTGTAATTACACTCAAACTACCCCACATGCTGGGCCTTCTCTCCAGCATCACTGGGGTGGTTTGAATGAAAATGGTCTCCATAGACACATATATTTGAATGCTTGGTCCCTAGTTGGTACAACTATTTGGGAAAGATTAGAAAGTGTGACTGCGGTGGAGGAGGTTTGATGTTTCAAAAGCCCACCCATTCCCAGTTAGCTCTCTCTTGCTAGTTCTCTCCTTCTTCTCTCTCCTTCCCTACCCTCTTCCCCTGCCTGGAAGTTGTGTCTCAAGATGTGAACTCTCAGATACTACTCCAGGACCATGTCTACCTGCCTGCTGCCATGTTCCTAGCTGTGATGGTCATGGACTCACCCACTGAAACTGCAAGTTCCTGTGACAGTTTGAATAGCATGGCCCCCCAAAGGCTCATACATTTGAATCCTTAGTCACAAGGGAGTGTATGTAACTCTTTGACAGAACGAGAAGGATTAGGAGGTGTGGCCTTGTTGGAGGAAGTACGTCATGAGGAGTAAGCTTTGAGTTTCAAACGCCCATGCCAGGCCCAGGGACTCTCTTTGCCTGTGGATGAGGGTGTAGCTCTCAAGTACTTCTCCAGCACTATGCCTACCATGCCTATTGCCAGGCTGCCCACTATGGTGACAGTGGATGAAAACTCTGAAACTGAAAGCAAGCCCCCAATTAAATGCTTTCTTTCATGAGTTGCCTCGATCATGGTGTCTCTTCACAGCAATAGAACAATGACCAAAACGGCCCCCAATAAACTCTTTCTTCTATAAGTTGCCTTGGTCATGGTGTTCTGTCACAGCAATAGGAAAGTAACCAAGACATCCACATTTTAAATGAAAATACATTCATCAATTTAAATGTTAAGTTTAGTTCACTTGAGAGGCTGAGGCAAGAGGATTTCAGGAACTACAGAGTAGAACCCTGACTCATAAAAACAAAGTAGTGCTGGGCATGGTGGCGCATGCCTTTAATCCCAGCACTCAGGAGGCCAAGTCTGGTGGATCTCAGAGTTCGAGGCCACCCTGGTCTACAGTGAGTTCCAGGACAGCCAGGACTACACAGAGAAACACTGTCTCTACAAAACAAAACAAAAGTAAATAAAATTTAGTAATTATCTTGTGGGATTACTTTCTGATAAAATTAAAAAAAAATAAAATCTCAAACCCCTGTATCTGGATTGCCATAAGGAACTCCCAAGTCCGCAAACTAGCTCTTAAGAAAGATGGATCTCTTGTTTGTCTTTTGCAGATAAGAAAAGCAAGTATCCCATGGAGGTGTCTCTACGAGAAACCAAATGATGCTCTGACCGCTGATCTAATTCCTACTGAACTACATTTATTCTTCCCCAACCTCCAGCCAAAGCTCTCACAAACTTAAGGAGAGCAGGTTGCCCGGGCTAAGAGCAACCTGCAGTACTCGCAGCATGTCGCCTGGGGGCGCTCAGGTTAGAGAGGGAAGAGCGGCGCAGGTAGCTATACACCTGCACTCTGCATAGGCCACTCATGGCCACTAGAGGGAGAACGTGCTCCCCTCAGGGGGGCGGAGCTTGCGGGAAGCACGCATGCGCCCGGAGGGAGGTGGTGGCACTAGCCCCGGCGAAGGGCAAGACGGTGGCCGAGAGGGCTCTGGGAGGCGGACGGTGGCCGAGAAGGTCCGGCATGGAGCACCTGGAGCGCTGCGCGTGGTTTCTCCGCGGGACGCTGGTGAGGGCGGCGGTGCGGCGCTACCTGCCCTGGGCGCTGGTGGCCGCCATGCTGGCGGGCTCGGTCCTCAAGGAGCTATCCCCGCTGCCCGAGTGCTACCTGAGCAACAAGCGCAACGTCCTCAACGTGTGAGTGCACCAGGCTCCGGGTCCCCGCGCCCCGAGAAGCCGGTTCGCTGCCTGGGTGGGTGGGCCAGTCATCGGGAGGGATCTCTGTCTTGACAGCCGCGTTCGCGTGCGTGTCGGCACCCGGGGACCCTGGGAAAGCGAGTGACACTCGCGCCTTGCGTTTGAGGATTCCGATAGTGGAGCCGAGTTGGCGGGCGGGTCGGTGACGCGGTGGGTTGTTGTGTGTGAGGTGCACTGGAGTGCTGCTCCCCCCCCTCTCCCCCCTAGTTAGGCGCTGGCCCCGGTCCCGTTTGGGAGATGTCACCTCCCTCCTGCCGGCTTGTCAGACACCCATCCCCGAACCCCTGTGATAAAAATCCCACCGTTGTCTTAAAGACTACCTCTAGACCCACTCACCACCCTGGAGAGTTTTCCCCTCTGGGCCGTATGTTGGTACAAGAGTGAAGCCTTTCGTGCCGGTGACCTTTCTCCTGGATCTCCTTGGACTTTTCTCAGTCATCTAAAGTGCATGGCAGTTGCCCAGGAAAGCAAGCCCAGCGGACTTCTTTGGGACATCTCTCTGGCTCCGCCCACTTCTCTCCTAGCCTTTTAAAATACCTATATCGAAAGTTTATTGCACAAAACATCATTGCAGCAATATAAGGAGTTTAGAAGCTGAAACTGCTTCAGTGTGAACCTACCCCTAGAGCTTCCAGCATGCTGAGAGTCTGCCTAACTCTTGTTACTACTTAAAAACGCTGTTTTCTCTTTTGGCAGCTGGGTCAGGTTTCTGGCACACCTTAGCTTTGGCAAGGCTTTCTTTATCAATGCCAGTGGAGGTTTTCGTGACAGGCTCTTTGGTGGTGTCTGAGAAGCTACTGGACTCTAGGGAAGAGGCATTCTGTCCTTGGCCCACCTCATCCTTACCCACTTAGTGGCTGGGCTAAGAATAGAGTGTGAGGTTGATAGTTGCCTCCAATCTCTTTGTGTCTTTTCTGCTGCTCACCCCCAGGTCAGCCCCCCATTCATGGGCACAGGGCAGGCAGACGTGGCAGCTGTTGTTTTATCTGGCCTGATGAACCAGGAGCCCAGCAGCCTGGCACACTGGTCTGTTGTTTAGGGGTAGCCATGGATTCTAATGTTTTGTTCCAAGACGTGGTGCTGATTAATGGGAGGGAACTGGCAGTGATTCGTTGAATCTGGGAGAGAGTTTAAGACTTGCTTGGTGCCCTCAGCTTTATCAGCTGAGGGAACTGAGACCTGAAGGTACATTAACAGATAGAGTCAGAATCAGGATTTGAACCCTGGTCCTGTAGCTTGAAGTAAAGCTCTTTCTTAGAAGACTTACCAGCCTTGTAGGAAATACCACTGGTGTGGTAGGGAAGGGCTGTGGGACTGGCAACGTGTGGCTCAATCTGAGTTTGCTGTTGTTTGTGTGGCCCTGGCAAAGTATTCAGTTTTCTGAGCCTCCAGAGTCTGTCTATAAAATGGTGTGGAATGAGGGTTAGGGGTACGTCTCCGCGGATAGAGTGCTTCCCTAGCATGCACCCCAGGTTTGATCCCCAACACCACGTAAAACTGGGTGTGGGGGCACACACGCGTAATGGCACTACTAGGGAGGTGGAAACGGAGGATCGCTAGTTCAAGATCATCCTTAGCTACATAGGCAGTGTGAAGCCAGCTGGGGCTATACTTAGATAAATGGCCCTTTCCCCCTCGGCTAGTTGGGAGTGTTCTGTGGAAGTGACTGTGTGTGTAAACACATCTAACATTCGATAGGTGCTCAGTTACTGCTTTCCTGAGCAAAGAGCACAACTGGAATGTTGCAGGCCCTGGATTTGAACCCCAGTCCACCACTAATGAACTCTGCTTTGTCATGACACATCTGTATGGCTCAAAGTCACCTTACAGAGTTACAGATGGACTAATTTCACTGCTCAGGAAATAAAGCACGTGTAAGCATAGAGTAAGGGTTCAAACATGGTAGCTGTTTGGGTGGGCAGCTTTGATCGATTTCATTTCACTTCCCTAACTTAGATACCCGAAGCAGGATGGCACTACTTCCTGTCTGCCATGTCTCCTCTTCACCTGCACTTTCCTCCTCCGTCAGGTATTTTGTTAAAGTGGCCTGGGCCTGGACAGTCTGCCTTCTCCTGCCTTTCATTGCCCTCACCAACTACCACCTGACGGGCAAGGCCGGCCTGGTCCTGCGGCGGCTGAGCACCCTGCTTGTGGGCACAGCCATCTGGTACGTCTGCACCGCCCTCTTCTCCAACATCGAGCACTACACGGGCAGCTGCTACCAGTCCCCGGCCCTGGAGGGCATCAGGCAGGAGCACCGGAGCAAGCAGCAATGCCATCGGGAAGGGGGCTTCTGGCACGGCTTTGACATCTCCGGCCACTCCTTCCTACTGACTTTCTGTGCGCTCATGATCGTGGAGGAGATGGCCGTGCTGCACGAGGTGAAGACGGATCGCAGCCACCACCTCCACGCTGCCATCACCACCCTGGTGGTCGCCCTGGGCTTCCTGACCTTCATCTGGGTATGGATGTTTCTCTGCACAGCCGTTTATTTCCACGACTTGATCCAGAAGGTGTTTGGTACCTTTTTCGGTTTGCTGGGCTGGTACGGGACATATGGGTACTGGTACCTGAAGTCTTTCTCTCCAGGACTCCCTCCCCAGAGCTCTAGTTTGACTCCGAAGCAAGATACTTACAAGAAATAAAAGAGAGACCCACGGGGACAGGAGGACAATGGCTAATAGACTTCCCACCTACTTTGTCCAGTGACTGGCTGAACTCTCCATCCACTTCAGAGAGGATGCTTATTAGGCCCTTTGGTGGTGGGATGGAGTCTGGGAACCACGTTCAGTCCTCAGACTCGACTGGTGACGCCACCCATGTTGCCAGCACCCCATTCCTGTCAGATACTTCTCTCTGGCAAGACGTGACCTTAATCTGTTCCCAGAGGCGAGCTGAGGCTCAGCAGAGGGACAGCAGACAGCCTCGTCGTGTGGATCACAGGGAAACCAGAGCTCCTGGACCCCCTCTGCTGCTGCGGTCTCCCTGGCTGTGGTTCTCTTGAGAGCTCAGTGGCCATGTTAACGCTGTCCTTTTAACAGTGTTTCCCCACGCCTGATCCTAAGATAAGCATTTCTCTCTGGCAGGTTCTTGATTAAACACCCCGATGCCTACAGCACACTCTCTGGCTGTAGTACCGACCTCCTCTTTGGAATATTGACAGTTGCACCTGGCTATGACCAGTTCCCAACAGGGGGCCACAACCCTGCAGTGCCTGGATGACTTTTATGTGGTGGACAGTGATGAGAGTTTTCTGTCCCCGCTGTCTGTCGTTGCGTGTTGGTGTTTGGAGCAGTGCCGGAGAACCCCGTTTCCCCTCCTCTCCCTGAGTGAGTGCTGTGTGGCTTCTAATCGTCACTATGACATTGGCTCTTTGGTGACAATGCTCCGGTACTGCGCTCCAGTACGTGCGGAAGTTGTTCGGGGTTTTTTGTTTTTGTTTTTTAGAACACTAATGTACCTTTTATAAACCAAACTTTTGGCTTATTGCATTAAATTTCATCTCATAGGATTGTTCCCTCTGTTAAGAATAAAGCTGGAGCCAGGAGGCAGTGGTGGCATACGCCTTTAATCCCAGCACTAGGGAGGCAGAGGCAGGTGGATCTCTGTGAGTCTAAGGCCAGCCTGGGCTACAGACGAGATCCAGACTAGCCAGGGCTGCAGAGTAAGAGCCTGTCTCAAACAAAACAAACAAACAAAAACAAGAATAAAACTGAAAAGGAGACATTTTATCATTTAGTGAATTTTGAGCTGAGAGAGTCATTCTGTAAAGTGTTTGTTGGTATTGAGGCCTTCCTGCCTACTTGCCAGTGGTAGAGAGGGTTCAGGTTCATAGGTTCATAGGACAAGTACCACCAACAAGGAGTTTTTACCCTTGGAGAGGATTATGATAATTTAGAAGTGAAATAAAATGTCTCCCTCTGAAGCAAGAAGCCAGCCAGCATGCAAAGCCACGCATATTACATACCACCGCCATGCCACCTTATCCGTATTATATAGTGGCATGACTGGGTCCCGCCTCCTTTTCCTGGTCCCACCAACAGAGCAGCCCTAAAAGGGGGCATTCAATAGCCATGGCATTCTCTTTGCATCCCTTCCCAGTTTCTAGTCATTATGTGGCCTTCGCTGAGACGCTAGGGTTAGGAGTCTTGTCACCGTGTCCCACATGGCAAGCTCCGGTCTCTGAGAAGAAGGCCCCTCTCCTCTCCCAGGTGATCTCTCAAGCCTGTCACGCTGAGCCCGGCCTTCTGGATGATCACCCCTGTAGCTGCCTTGACACCTCTCCTCCAGCAGAGCTGGGCAATGACGCTACCTGATAAGCTTTGGCCTGCCTGTCCTGACTGCAGCTCAGGTAGTTAGGTGCTTAGTAAGTTAAGAGTAATTTCTTTTAATTTATTTTCTTAATTTAAAAAAAAAATTTTTTTTGGTAGTCAGGGTCTCACTATGCAGCCCTGGCTTTCCTGGAACTTACCATGTGGACCAGGCTGTTCTTAGACTCACAGAGATCTGCCTGCTTCCGTCTACTTAGTGCTGAGATTAAAGATGTGCTAATATTAAAACCACCACATCTACCTACTAAGTAATTTTTTAAATATAAGGATATATTTAAAATACGCATTTCATAATCTGGTGAGCTACAGATCAACTTGACCAATGACAATGTAAGATGTTGTTACCAGAGGGGAAGAAAAGCAGGCAGTGAGGTGTCACCGTGGTGCTTCGGTGAATTGACAGTGAACAGAAAGGATGTTTCACTTTCTGGAAGTTTCCACCCATCTCCCCGGGATAGGGATGGGCCTGGGGAAGATGGTAGAGCTGGTCACCAGCTAAGTCTCTCAGGCTTCATGTCCACACAGAAAGGAGCAGCCACATTAAGGCTCCAGACACTTTTCTCATGGGGGTCTGACCGGGTTTAACCTTAAATGACTACATGTAACTCTCAGTTACTGTGCGTTCTCTACATAGTATGTGGACTAGATTACATGTGCTTTTTCTTGGTACTCCCCCGCTTTGCTCTCTGTGCCAGGGATGGGAACCCAGGGCTTTGTGCATGCTGGGCAAGGCCTCCATCCCTGAGCTACATCCCGAGTTCCTCCGAACCCTTGCCTTCTCAGGAGTTTCCTGCCCCCCTGTGCCAGGAAACACGGCATGAGTGAGTGTTTGGGCAACCGTGAGATGTAGGTTGAAATGTTGGTATCGCTCCCAATTCACCGTCAGTGTGCAAACCTTGCTGCCCCTGTCTGTAAAGTGGAGGTCATTCTTCTAGCACTAAAGGAAGTGACGTGTGAGGTGCTGAGCTTGTGTGCTGTGGTCTTTCTCTTGATGGCTTTGAGAATGGTCTGGCTCATCTAGAGAAAGCAGAGAAACTAACATCTTTTGGGGAACACTCAGAGCTTGGGTCTCCTATTGAAATAGTCTCATCTTTCACCCATTGTCCCTGGGTGTTAAACATGAGCTCTGGGGACATCTGACCCGAGTCATGCCATGCTGTTCTGCTTCCCGGTGTGGTGGTTTGCTCACTCGCTTCCATGTGCATCTGTCATTGTCCAGGTACCAGATTGTATTTAGAGAATGGCTCATGCCACTGTT